GGGATGGATCACTTGATGATTCCCTGTTCCGTTCGTTCCCTCTGGGGCACCTGGCATTGGCTGCTGTCGGCAGACAGGACACTGGGCTAGATGGACCTTGGGTCTGACCCCGTATGGCCGTTCTTCTGTTCTCTGCTGCGTGATCTCAAACGTTTTCTTGCCCGCCCCTGGCCCGCGGTGGCTGTGCCAGACGGCGACCGTCCCCCTCCATCCTGCCACAGCTTGCCTCCCGCTTCCACGCTCCCCTCTGCCACGTGGCTTCTGCTCTCCCGCCACCGCTGCTGCCTGCATGCCACACGCCTGGCGGCACGGCCTGCTGGGGGCTTGTGCCTGGCAGAGCTTGGGGGGGTGGTCGGCCTGGAGACAGTAGGTACCTGCCCCCCTAGCTGCCCTGCGGCTCTCCAGCTTTTCAGCCAATGTGTGCCCTGCGCCATGCAGCCTTGAGCCTGGCTCCACATAGGGGGGACAAGGAAAGGGGCATGAATTTGGCCAAGTCTCCATGGGCACAGGAGAGAGAGCGCCAATGGGGAGGCGCCCCGTGCCCCTAGACAGGGGGCATGACCCCCTGCCCTTCCCCATGCTGGCCTCCCTTGCCGAAGGCATCCCGACCTCAACACGCTAGCAGGGCAGAGAGAAGGAGGGCAAGTTGCTGGAGCCCCCGGCCCTCTACAAGGCCCCCTCCCTAGGGCCACCGGTCACGGCTCCCACCACCGCCCTGTCAGCTGCCCTCTGCGTGGGAATCCCGGTTCCCCATCGCTCCCCGGTGCAAGTGATGTAGTACGGGATGAATTGATCTGTGGAACTGCCTGCCACAGGGGGGCGCTGAGGCTGAGAGCTTAGGGGGCTTCAGACCTGGGAGCAGGGTGTGCATGAGCACATCCCAGAGATGGAGCGAGAGGGGCTGCAAACCCCCCAGCTCCAAACCGATGGGGTGGGGGTCTCCCCCCAGGGCAGGTGACCCCTTAGCACACTGGTTTGGGGGGGGGTGCTGGCTCCTTTCCCTGAAGCAGGCCACTGGCGTGGGGGTGGGGCAGGAGACGACGTGAGGTGTGCCGCGGCTCCCTGCATAGGGCGGGGTGGGAGCCGGCTGCTTCCCGGGGGGGGGGGTAGGGCTCGGGGGGGGTCTTGCCTCCGTCGACACCCCCTTGTCTCTCCGGTGCCCCCAGCTGGTTCGTGACAATGCAGATCTGCGCTGTGAGCTTCCAAAGCTGGAGAAGCGGCTTCGGGCTACGGCTGAGAGAGTTAAGGCCCTGGAGGGTGCACTGAGGGAGGCCAAGGAGGGGGCCATGAAGGACAAGCGGCGCTACCAGCAGGAGGTGGACCGCATCAAGGAGGCCGTGCGCTACAAGAACTCCAGCAAGCGCGCCCACTCGGCGCAGATCGGTGAGCGCCCGCCCGGGGGCAGTGGGGTCCCTTTCCCACAGGAGCGGGCGCTGCCAGCGTCAGGGCTACAGACCCGCACACACACACATGGGGGGCAGGACTTGGCGACTCCTAGGGCATTGGCCTTCTCCACGGGGAGTGGTCCTGTGGGCAGGGGAGGGCATGAGGGGTGGACACTACTGGACCCTTGAGCCAAAATGGCCTGAGCCGAGGGCGTAACCCCCCCCCCCCCGTTCCCTGGGGGCCATGCGCTCCCCCCCGCCGGCCCGCCTCACTGCCACGTCTGCACTGGGGGGTTCCCAGGGGCCGTGATTCAATGGCGGTTTCTCCCTTTCAGCCAAGCCGGTGCGGCCGGGGCACTACCCGGTCTCGCCCACCAACCCCTACGGCGCCCGCAACTCCGACTGCGTTAGCTACACTAACAGCCTCTTCCAGAACTACCAGGCAGCCTACGGGCAGGGCTCCGCCCCAGACGCCTAGTGAGTGCCGGGGATGGGGGGGACGGGGAACCCCCGATGGGGGGCTGCCACGCATGTGCCCACCCCCCCCTGCAGGCGTACGCTGCCCTCTGAGGCCCGGCAGCCTGGCCTCAGCCCGGCCAGTGCCAGTTAGTTACAGAGGATCCAGGCTGTGATCCTGGCATGGATCCCAACCCGTAGTGGGGGTGGGCACTACCAGCTCTTGGGGCAGGGATCCCCCATTCATCACCCCTGGCATGTGGGGCCCGGGGCTGCCGGTCCTGGGCCGTGGCCCCCCGCGAGCGGCTGTCCGTGCTGCGGTTCTGACGGCTCCGTCTGTCTGGGTCTCCCCTTGCTCAGTTTTGCCAACTCCTCGTCCAGCAGCGGCACGGGCTCCTCCAGCGGCCCCCTGGCCCCCTACCAGAAGCTGAGCGTGGATAACGGTGAGAGGGGCCCAGCCTGGGGGGGGGGCACCGGGGGGGAGAAGGGCAATCCTGACAGGGGAGCCGGGAGCTTGGAGCCTTTGGATGCGTCGGCTTCAGCTGGGCCGAGCGGCTGGGTGGAGGCTGCTGCTGGGGAGCGGGCGGCTGAGGCTGGGGAGGGACGGGGCCGGAGGTGGCCATCTGCTGGGGTGGCTGGGGCCCTGCTGGGGACCAGAACTTGCAGCCCATCAGAGATCCCCTGATAGCCAGGGCCTGTCCTGGGAGAGCACCCCAGGGCTCCTACTCTCAGGGGACCCCTCTATGGGGCTGCCTGCCAGGATGATGGGGGGCCGGGCCTCCCCCTGACACTGCACTTTCCTTTCCATGTCTGCCGGGCTGCAGGGAACGCCACAGACATCAACGATAACAGGTGAGGCCGGGAGCCCCCGCGAGGGGGCTGGGACGTGGCGCAGGGAGTGGCCAGCAACCCACAGGGCGGGCTTGGAACCGGGCATCCGCCAGCCAAGGGGCATCACAGGGAGGACGTCGTCCACGCCCCAGACAGCCCTGGGTTCAGGCTGTCTGCCCCGGGGTTGGAGCAGCCAGGCCCTGGCCTGGGGAGGGGGTTGGCACTGGGGGGAAGGCGGGAAGGGGCCTCTCGGGGCACAGCCGAGGGCAGAGCTAAGCCCTCTCTCTGCCCGCAGAAGTGAGCTGCCCTGCAGCTGCCAGGCTGACGAACAAGCTAAGCTGTTCCCCCTCCACCAGGAGACAGCAGCCAGCTAATAGTGCAGCTGGTGAGTGCCCTGCCCTGTAGGCCTCTGCCCCTGCATCCTCTGCCCTGCCCTGCCCTGCCCTGCCCTGCCGCGTCCCCCCCGGCCCCGCGGCCCCCGCCCCGCCCCGCCCAGTACCACCCTGCCCCACGGGCCTCTGTCCCTGCATCCTCTGCCCTGCCCTGCCCCGTGGGCCCCTGCTGGGTACCGCCCTGCCCCGTGGGCCCCTGCCGGGTACCGCCCTGCCCCGTGGGCCCCTGCGCCCCCCGCCCGGTACCGCCCTGCCCCACGGGCCTCTGCCCCTGCACCCCCCGCCCGGCTGGGTACCGCCCCACGGGCCTCTGCCCCTACCCCCGTTAGGTACTCCCTGCTGTCTGGATCCTCCCAGGGGACAGGGCCGGCTCCAGGCACCAGCTTGTCAAGCAGGTGCTTGGGGCGGCCACTCGGGAGAGGGGCGGCACGTCCAGCTATTCGGCGGCAATTCGGCGGACGGTCCCTCACTCCCGCTCGGAGCGAAGGATCTTCCGCCGAATTGCCTTTTTTGGCTGCTTGAGGCGGCCAAAACCCTGGAGCCGGCCCTGCCAGGGGAACCCCCCCCATTGCGCCTGGCCCCCGCCCCCTGCCATAGCACTGTCGCTGCCCCCCAAAGCCTTTCAGTATCGCGTGCAACACCTTCCCACAGCCCCCCAGTGTCACACTGGCACTGCCCCGCCAGTCCCCCAATGTTGTGCCTGCACCCCCAGGTGCCTTCCCCTCCTGTCTCCCACACTAACCCTCCCCCATTGTGTGTCTCCCTGGGGGTCCTACCATGAAAACTGCTGGGGGGTTGCCCCTCCTCCTCGTGCCCCCAGGTCAAGCCGGCCTTCCCCAGCACCCCATTAGCTGGCGGGGCGGCACCCCTGCCCGGCACAGCACTGGCGGGTGAGCCGGGCTCGGCCCGGGGCAGGTCCCTGCTGTCCGGGGTGGCCTGAGATCTCACCCTATCCCCTCTTCTCTTGTAGTTTCTAACTGGGCTGGAGGCCTCTGCCCAGCATGCTGCTCTCTGGCTTCCCGGGGCCTCTCTACTAACCCCCGTCTGTCCGTCCGCGCGTCTGCCTGTCCTGCTCTCTCGTCTCCTGTGTCGTTCCCCAGCTGCTGCGCTCGCTGTCTCGCGCTCTCTCTGTCCTTGCAAGCTCGTTGAGGTCACAGCTTGCCCGTCGGGTCCGGGCCCGGCCTGCCTGGGGCTGGCGCTCCGGCCCGACCCACCTTGATTTTAAAATGCCTTAAGCAGCCGCCATGAGGAATGTCCAACATCGAACCCAGGCCCAGGACAAGCCCCTCTGCACCCCGCGGAGAGGGGGGTATTAGCCATTTCACCCCACGCCCCCTCATCCGCCTCCCAGCCCTGGGCTCCCAGAGCCCGTGGCACCCCCCAGGTGCTGCCCTTCCCCCTGCTAGATCGGGACCTGCTGAGGCAGAGGTGTCCCCGGCCGGGGGCGCCCTACGCGTAACCAGCAGCAGGGCCGCCTTGCCAGGCCCTGGGAGCCTGCTTTCTCATCTCAAGGGGTGAGCGGCCCCCTGGTTCCCAGCCTGCCATCCCACTGGGGTGGAAGGGGCCCCGCAGTGCAGGCAGGTCAGTGCCTAGGGCTCTTCCCTCTGTCCCCCCCAAGCTCACCCAGCTGCCAACACTGCCCCAGACCTGCCTGGCATCTGGACTTGGGGCTGCAGCGGCTGCCGAGTGGCCGTCTGTCCCTTCCACCCATAGCCGTGCTGGGGAGACAGCTGCTCGCCCAGCGTCAGACTAACCCCTGGAGAGCCCGTGACCCCAGCACAACCACTGGGCGGCCGGCTCAGCAGAGATGCAGGGGAGCCCCAGCTCTCATGCCCAGAGGGGGGTTGCTCCTGGGCAGGGCAGAGGTACCTGTGCTGGCGCTCGGGGCTGCACTCTGCATCTTGCCCCCAGGATGAGTCCCACCCCCATGGCGCTGTCTGAGCTGGGCCCCTGCCTACTCCTTAGCCTCGCTCCCCAGGCTACTGATCCCGGGGGGTGTGCGCACTGATCGTCTCCTCTGGGTGCCTTCCAGGTCAAGGTGGGCTCCCCTCAGAGCTAGCAGGTAGGGGGGTTTTGGGGGCAGAGGCGCTGTGCTAGAAAATGGGGGGACACTGCCACGGTTGTGAAATCTGCCTGGGGGCTTTGCCCCTCCCCCCCAATGCCCATTATACAGCTTAGCCTACGGGGGCCGGGCGTCCTGCACGGCGCTGTTCTGGACAAACCGAAGCTGCTAAACCCACCTCGGTGTCTTTTTTTCCCTGGGCCGGCGGGCGGCCGCCTCTAGCTTGCGTGTGTGTGTCCCCCCTCTTCTCCCGTCGCCACGGCCACTACGCCCAGAGCAGAGCGGGCCGGGGGGACCCTCGGCCCAACGTCGGGGTCACTCTGCCCCGCTCCTGCAAGGTGGGAACACGCAGGCCCCGCCCACTCCCCCTCTGCTCACATCACACCAAAATGTTGCATGTTGGAGTAAAAAGTGTTTATTTAAGAAAATCAATAAAGAGATGAGAATGAGTGAGCGCCCTAGTGTCTGGGGAGTGGGGGGAGCAGCGGGCACGGGACAGGAGCAAGAAACTCTTGCGGGCAGGCAACGTCCTTCGGTCTCATGTTTGTGCAGCACCTTGCACAGCGGCATGGTCCACAACGGGGGCTCCTATATGGGATGGGGATGGGAATAACCTTTGCTAGCCCATGGGCCTGTTATCCTGCCTTGACCTGGGAGGTGGGGGCTAGCTGGGCAGGGGACTTTTGAGGATTGAAGAATAGGGAAATATAACATCTCTACCCCCACGCACACATCCTAGTGTTGGGCATGAAAGCTTTCTCCTGAAGGCGGTATGGGGGGGGGGGGGAAACCTGATGCCCAGAAAAGCCAACCCTTGGCAGGCCAAAGCTAGGACAGACCTGACCTCCTGCCCCTCGACTGGCCTGGAGCCTGGCCCCTCCCAGCCCACCATTTACAGCTATTTCGCTTTGTACATCAAAGAACCCCAGAGCCAGCCGCAGCCTCCCAGGGCAGGAGCAACCCTTGCGTGCTGTAGAAGAGCCATTAGCCTGGCTCTGAGCATGACCCCTCCTGCCAGTTTTGTGCCACTAGCCCTGGGAGTGATGCCAACCCACAGCCCATGTGTGCCTGCCCACGACCGGCCCACAGAACCATCCCTGAGCTCTGGTTTCTGATCCCCACGCAGGGCCGTGGCTGTGCACGGGGGTGGATGTGCCCAAGAGAACCCCAAGCCCAGTTTGCCGCAGAGGAGGGATGAAGGGGAAGCTGAGGGCAGGGATGCAGTGAACGGGTGGTGGTGGGCCGGGAGGGATGCCCCTTGGGGCATGATGCTGTGCTGGGTGGCAGGGGGATGTCCGGGAGCGGGAATGAGATCAGGAACCTCTTGGCTCTGATCCAGCCCAGCTAGGGGTATGTGACCTGCCTCAGCTCCCATCTAATACATGGGAGCTCTCAGGCCAGGTCTCAGGAGGGGTTGTGCCCTTGTGACACACACACATACAGGTGGCTTGTGGGCCCAAGAGCTGCTAGCCCTGGAGGCTGAACCTTCTCCCCCTCTTGGGGCACAAGAGGGGAATGAAGTTGTGACCTTTAGCCCTTGTTTTGCAGCAGG